GATATGTTCCAATTTCCGACTTTAAGCTCCCACTGGTGGTGTCGTTCTCGTGGAGCCTTTTCTGACGTGCATCGGGCTGTGTGCCTCCTCCGTTCAGAACGGTTAGCGACTCCGTCGCTGACTGGCATCTTCGGGGTCGTTGCGTCGGTTTTCGTCAGCCGTCGTTGTGCTGCCACGCCCCCGGCTGGCAGACGGCAATGAGCAGGTTCTGATCGCCGACTTCTCGCAGTCTGCCTCAGTCCCCCAACAGTCTGCTCAGCCTTTGGTAGCCCGGGCGACGACCGAGCCGGTATAATTTTCGATGGCGTCAATACCATGAGTGGCAGGTGGCTGAATTTTATGGAGACTTGCCGCGGTCTCCAACCCTCCGCCTTTCTCATCCGGGCTTGGATCCGGCAACGGCGCAATTAGTTTACTGTCCTAAAACTAGCTGCAAAAGAATTCTGCCCTACAATCTCTATATGAAAGGTACGTCCACTTCAACACTGAAATCTTCACGTGAGAGAATATTTTCTGCAATGAAGTCTGATTAAGGATCAACGATGAACAGCCCATGCAGTTAATATCCACGTGGAAATTACACCAAATTATATCCTTTTTGGTACGTAGTACAAAGAGAGGGGCAAGCAAGTGCGTATTTTGTTGCAGTTATTCCATGGTCATCATCTGAGCTGCCTGCAACTTCAGGAATCCTATAAGAATCCCTGAAATTTTCATCTTTTCAACATCTTCTGTGATTGCTACGGCATCGTGGAAGAAAACTTTCGTATTTAAAGACATATTTGCTCATATACTGTACCTACTGTTGCCCAGTTATCGTCATGTGAGAATAACGCAGCTCAAACAACAGAGAACCTAGATTAATGACGTACAAAAGTTAGAAATGGTATTTCAGATTCATATTAGGCAAGGCCAATTCTTTTTAGCAAGCAGGTTCGGAAGTGCTTCCGCGATTTGTATTGACCTCCAACGTATCTACGACCAGTGCATGGTTCCCGAGCGAGAAAATTTTTAAATATATTGCCATTGTCTCTTAAGGCAGTTTTCTCAGACCGGTAATCGTCAGCACCTGTTCGTTAGTAACCTGACTAAACGAACTTCATAATGCTTCAGGACGGATGACGTTTGAAGCTTGTAAATGAGCATTGCGAGTATGCTGCTTTCAGAATAGAGACCTTCGTGTGCGTTCTTATAGTCCAATTCTTCCATGTCACACAGCTTGCGATGATTCGCTGATACTAGTCCGATAAGCCGATTCACTTCAGGATCAATGTTGCATTGAAATGAGATATCTGAAGTGGTCAAACTCGTCAAGTGTAATACCATACCATAGTATCCTCAGACTGGTGGTCGCAGAGAACGCTCATAATCGTCGTCGGCTCATCGTTGACTTGTAGCCCCACTCCAACAGAAGCGTTGCACGAGTTTTCGACGGGTGCTAGTGGGCCACTTGCGGAGTCACTAAGCAGCACAAGTCATCGGCGTATTGAAGGTCCCTTAGGAATACAGCCGTTCATCTCGAACTACGTCGTTGACTTACGATCAATCCTTCGTTATCTGAGACGACGCTCTCCCATATAACATGGTCCCCAACGATATCAAAGAAACAAAGAGAGGGTCTCACCCTGAAGAACTACGCTGTCAACCTTAAACAAATCTGACAATGATGCTTTAGCTCGGACAGCGCACCCCCTTTCGTACAGGCCTTCAAAGAAGTTTACTATCACTTGTGGGATTTCCTAGTGTAGAATGACACGCTACATAGTCTGGCCATGAACTGAATCGAAGGCAGCACGGAAGTAGAGAAACGTCGCGTGCCACAACAGGTTTTCTGCGTCATCTTCAATATTCGAATATTCTTCTATAGAAATAGAAATGATCGGCCACTGACATCCCCAGAGCACCTCTGCTGAAGAACCTTCCTAACGATTTGGCATTGTGCATTGCCGATTCGTTGCAAATAGTTGCATACAGTTTATACTAGAAAACGGTATGTTAAATAATATCATCTTCACATTGCCTTATAGTTTACCTCAATGCATTTCGAGTTGTACATTCACTTGATTCAAGCGCATTTTCACGTCGAACAGAACATAAACATATCGAACCTACCTTAGTGAGCATTATTAGACAGCCAAAACGGTTGAACTACAACAGTGACATTCTGCGTTGTCTATATACCTGTTCTCATTTAGATATTCAAACATAAAAAACCGCAACATGGAAGATATCTTCTAACGCGAAAGCTCGTTTTGAACATTTTCAAATTTGTGTTTTCAGACATTAATATCCACTTTCACAAGGTAATAAACCTTAAAAACAATCCTGTCATACAAAGTCATTATGCATAATTACTTCACCATTAATCTTACTGCGCAGCGATGAATAGTTCTGCATACAATATTATGATACGTAATAAATTAGCATTATAATTATGAACTTAAACTGATCCTTTCAAGAGTAAATTATTTACATATATACTTATCAATTTAGGTGCACTTGTTGAGTACACTGCCAGGTTCATAAAGATTTGAACATCAAACGAATAAAATTACAATTAACCAACTATCTAGAATGGTAGCAGCAGTTTAAGGAGTGAACTAACAGACACCGAGTTACCCGGAAACAGGTGCTTTCTACTCACCGGCATATGAGTAATTCCGTTGCTCAACGTACCATAAACAATGCATGTAAAATGCGCAAAGCTATTTTGAGGGAAACGTCGTTACCACTGAAGCAGCAGCAACTTCTAGGCATAACACACTTCCCCTGAAGTGGAATTTTCGTCCGCACTTACCACAACATTCTGCATTTGAAAATGACTGTTCAGGCTGGACGCTTGATTCTGCGACACCAGTTTATAAGAATTAGCCGTAACCGCCAGAAAAGACGCTAAACAACAAATAACACTTAAAACAACGGAAAGCAACTAACAAAATGACAGTCACATGTTTAAGTTACATCCAAATCAGCAAAGAATAATCATTTATGATGAACAAAGATCTGAACGACTACGACGTATGGATCAATGATCTTCAAGAAAATCACAGGGTGTACAGGATAAATAGCACAAAAAAATACAAAAAGAAGTGAAGAAAAAGTTATGCAATAAAAATACTATTTAAGTATCATCATCATGCTGGGTAAGGTGTGAATCACGCGTATCTTTAGGATGATGGTCAAGCGTAGTGAAGTCAGGATTAACAAGTTTCTGCAAAAATCTGTGAGACAACAGATGCTGACAGGTATAGTGACATTCAGCTCGGGCACGGTTTATTTATATATAACGCAATACATTTGATCAATGGGACAATAGGCATACACTGACATTTCGGTCTGTATCTTAGGCCTTCAAACTAAGGTAGATGGTTGCTTGTTGCGACGACGTAGCTTATTGTAGCCGACTCTTGTAGAGCTGCAAAACGAACTCTCAGTCCATGCTGCTGCTACAATAATTTTTCGGTGACAGGCGCGACAAGCTTCATTCAGCACGCGAAAAGTTTCTCCTCTATTGTCAAGGTTGAAGTTTTTACAGGACTAAATGAATATATCCTGATTAAAATGATTTTTTTATGATGTTGGTCTACTTTGAATATCACGTGTTACAGGATTTTGAAACCCCCTTCACAGTGAAGCTTGACTTGGTACGGAGCGAAGCCTTGTTTTCTTCCTGGATACTTCGTTTGAACATGACACTTAAGTTTGACGATGATTGCCAATATTTTCCAGTTAGACAGGAATCGAACGCTCAGATTTATCGTCCTCAGAACTGCTTAATGTAATACATATTTATACATTATATTAATGCCATATTTGGTAAAAACTTTTTATTAAAGTTTTTATAATAAGGGAAAAGTACG